CCACCACCATCACACCTGACAGAGATGCTAGATGCCAGACTGATAAGTGGATTAGTTGATCACAGTAGCCAAGTGCCGGCGATCGCCAATAAATCGTCGGTAATTTGAATCAACTCCCGGAGGACAGAGACCACCAGAGGGTGAGGAGGATCCATCTGCAAGTAGCTTATTTTCCCGCATTCCGCTTCACTCTGCAAATTCAAACTAATCCCCTGTAAGATGTCCACACACCGAGCATTTCCTCTGGCCATTAGCCAGAGGCCTCTGGCCAGAGGGAGCTAGAAAGAGATCGACAATGGGTGATCGCCAGAGTGGCCATAGCCACTTCCTGGGCAACGATCGCTGCCGCCGCTGTTAATGTGTGACTTTTGCTGTGTTTTTCAACGACATTAATTTTGTGTGCGCTGGATCTTAAGCCGGATTTAGTTAAGCAGCTCAGCGATCGGGCCACTGGAGCGGTGGAGCGATGGAGCGGGGGAAGGCGCATTAAATACGCTTCCAGACGCTTCGCTCCAGCTTTGGTCACATTTTGTTGGGCCCGCTTAGGAAATATAATCTCTTTTGTCGATGCCAGGCATGATCGCCGCTTACTCACTGTGCCCGTGTCGTGATGGCGATCACCTGTTTCACCTGTGTTTGTGTTTGGCTTGGCCAGCCTCAGTCTCAGTCTCAGCCCCAGTCCAAGCCCCAAACCAATATCGATGTCTGGCCGAGCGGACGAGGGGGTGAGCGGGTGAGCGAGCGTGTTGCTTTATAATGTGTCGCACATTAGTTAGCAGTTAATACTTTAAATAAGACGAGGTTACCGACATTTCGACTTGGCTCTGAGTTGGCTTGAGGAGAGAAATATGCTCGGAAGCCGATTGTCGCTGTGACTTGTAGAAATCGGCGTAGCCCGGCATAAGCCTGGCCCGGCTTATGATTTTCAACGGGGCGTATTAGTGATAAATAATAAATCTTCAGCACCGAAAATACCTACCGAGTAAGCCCCAACAATGTCATCGTGATCTGCACGGCAATCAGAACCAAAGTTTATAATCACCCGCCGAAGCTTCCCGCCGAAGCACAAACATAAAAAATTATGATATGGTTTATATATGGTATCTCCCCAGATTTTCTCAGATATTCCGATATTCATTTCACTTCCACTTGTCTTTTGGATATTCCGCTCAACCGACTTGTCATAATTTTCAAAACATTCCCAGAATTTATGTCCGACCGAGTGGAGGGATACGGAATACGGATTTGGTTGGTTCATATAAAAATAGTCTGAAATCGGGCAGTCTCGTATATCTACGAGGAACAAGCTAAATCCACTAATTAAGAATGAAAAAGGTGACAATGGGGGAGGCAACATTTGAAGATGATTTTCGAAATGCGTAAATCGTATAAAATTCGATTCTGTTTTCGTGTTTTGTCACAGACTGTGCCATTCGATTATGCTGAATGATAAATGCCCCAAACAAATACTCAGAGACACGGAATCCAGATGCCCTACAAATTAATTACCCGAAAGTTGTCATTATCATTCGAACTTTTCCGCTTTTTTTTCGGCTGGTTGGTATTTCTATTCTTTATATTTTTTATCAGCTTTTGGTTCACGTTAAGCTACAAAGCCTGAACCGCTTTTATCGCAATGTCTTACAAATCGTTTTATCAAGGTGTCATTAGCTGCAAGCCAACAACGCCGGGCCGCAAGGTGTTCTATGATAAGTGCAGAAAGGAAAACCTCAACAAGTCGAACACGTTTTGTTGATTATCTGAGGAGCAGCAGTAGGAGAGGAGGAGGAGACCATCGGGCGGCCCCTTTGAAAGCCATAGCGATTCCAAGTCGAACCATAGAAAAACCGAAATCGAAAACATGAACAAACAAAAACCGATCATGAACAAAAAAAAAATGAAAATAGAGAAATAGAATTGATTTAAGACCTGAACCTGAAAGTGCCAAATAATAATGAAGAAATGGAAGTTTCAGAGACAAGCTGACAACTTGTAATTAACTTAAAGCGTTTTCGGTGTTTTGATATTCCTGTCAGTCTCTTCCCAAGAACTTCCCTGACACCGAAGGTTGGTTAACTATCGAGTACTTTGGGGGGCTTTTAGTTTGATTGAAATGGAAAACAGACGAACCAAATCTGAAATCTTATTCCAATTCTAAAAACAGAGACCGCGCTTCTGAAGCTGAAGCTGAAGCTGAGGCCAAGCAACTTATGATAATAATCATTATAAATTATTATAATCCAATCGGCTTTGAATAATTAATAAATACGAGTATATATATAGTATGTGGTGTATCGCTTATATGCAAACTCAACGAAGGCGCATAATCGGGCCGTAAAAAGCCGCTCAACTGACAGATCGCTGGGGATTCCAGGGGCTAAGGGGCGTTGAGAGCTAAGAAACTGAGAAAGCCGAAAGTCGCCGTCGAATGAAATGCTAAAAATGTGTTACAATCAAGACGAGGCAGCGCAAAAGCGGCTAAAGGGATCAGGAAAAATATGAAGGGGTATGGGGCCCAACATACCTAAGCTCTGATAAATACGGAATGCCCCGAGAATTGAAAGAGGTGTCTAGAGCCAACAAGGAATATAAGAAAGCCCACAGAAGCAGTAGCAAGAGTCAGAAGGCGGGTCTTAACAACACCAACAAACGGCAGCCACAACGGCAACAAAGATGACAAACAGTTTGGACATTTATGAGCAGCATTTAATGGACATTTGACTACCGGAATTTAACGAAACTGAAAACGTGGGAAGGGGCTTTCTTTGCCTTTGATGCCTTTGAAAAGGAGATCTCGAAGAATGGTCGAAGAATGCATTTGATTGGAGCTCCGATTTGATGCGCGGCCAGATTAACCCCGATTATCATTAGTCTTGGTCACCCCGATAACTGAGGGAAAACGCTAGGGACTGAAACTGGAACTGAGACTGGGTCTGGGTCTGAGGAAATGACTATTCGATGATCATGACGGTGAGCAGGAAGCAGTGGCAGTGAAGAAGATTTCAATTAATAAATATTCCATTATCTGATTTCTAAGGCCTCTGTTTTTTTTTTTCCTCACCCTCCTTAACACTTTCAGATTAGACAAAATCGAACCATTTATAATTTATAAGACGGCCTATCTTGGCCAACTCAAGAGGAGGAGGAGGTGCGAAGAGGCGGGAGCTCAGGTGATCTAACCGTGAATGAAGAGACTCGCTCGGCATTATCTCTTCCTCGGGTTCGAATTCGATATTTTTCTTCAAGAAAAAACACCAAAAAAAAGCGACAGAAATTATCACAACAATAAAACTAAATGCTTTATAATTAGTTTGCAAGCCAAAAGAACTCACACCACACACACCATCCCATATGGGTTTGTTATTAAATATGATTTGTTATAGTTTACGAAAGAATTCCCATTTATTTATACCCATTCTGACGGTTCTGGCCATACAGGTTTATTATCTGGCCCAGTCGGGGCAACTTACGCCGCCTAAGTCTTATCTTAATCCCATTCACTAAGCATATGCGTCGACACATAAAACTGTCAAAAAATTTTAACAGAAACAACAAAAGGCGAGGAGATGAAACAAATCGAAGCAGAGCCGAAGCTTCGAATGCTCTAGCATAGTGCTACGACCCAACGATTCTAATCAAAAACCCATAAAACATAAAAGTTCTTTGAAAAACTCACATTTCATCAGAGAACTACAACATTTCTAAAAATGCAAACAGAGTAATGCCGCAATCATTCGCCCAGGGGAGGTATTAATTTTTCTTTAAACTAAAAATTAAATCTCAACTGTAGATATAACTCGATCTTTCCCTTGGGGTTCCAATAAGTCCTCGATTAGGAACCCAGTATTCCCATTGGCGGGGAGGGTATGGCTTGTTTTTGAGAGCTTTTCGATTCGGCCAGTACTATAACCCGGAGACAGTGGCGGAGTGGGTCCCCCAGATTTAGTTAATATACAGCATAGATATTTTCAAAATCAAATGGAAACAAAATCAATAAATTCTTGGATTAGTCACCCCCCATTTTTGGGTGCTTGGGTAACCGATATCAATGGGGCTGAGGCACTGAGGCAGGCAGAAGTCGAAGTCAGACCTCGGAGTCAGATAAATAATAATTACACTCACACAACATAATCAATTATGTCTGCTAATAAACTCTGGCCACAACTACACACACACTCAGATATCTGGACATGTGTATGAGTGACACACCACCCCACCCCACCCATTACTTTACTTTTTTTTTTTCTAAAGAGCTGTACGGGGAGTGGGCTAATCACGCCAGCATGTTCATAATCAATTTTATCGCACTTATTTGGATTAATTGCGATATCACTAGACAGGGGCGTCCGATAAAAAAATACAAAATAACGTCGCACCACAATGACGCGGGACACATGCAGGGTTTTGTACTCCCCATGGTGGTAACCCCTTTCTGGCAACCAGGAGGTGCCATCCCGATTCGTAAACCCCATCGATATCTAAGTTCGTCATCGCCTTATGCCGAAATTACCAGCATTTGTCAAAGTTGCCGTCGGGATTATCTTATCTGACTGGCAAAAGCTTTCGGGGAACTCAACCCACTTTTTTTTTAGTGCGAGTGGCGCGGGGTTTGGGGATCGGCTTTACAATGCAATTAGTGCCCCAAACAAAAACAGAAAAGAACTGTTCCGAGTGGCGGTAAACAGACAGAGTGGAGGGGAGTGGAGTCGGAGTCGGAGTCAGAGTCGGAGGGCTTATCGCGCCACCGATCTCGAAAATCTCAGCCGATAAGGATTATCTTAATCTGCATAAATAGCGAAACGGTCGCATATCTACACACGGGCGTTATCACCATCGCTTGGCCATATGTCGCTATTGTTTGCTTTTAACTGATTCATTTTGAATCCGGAAGATAGAGATACATATACCATATATGTCTGAGCCATAGGTGTAAATTGCCGCCGGCGAATCGTAGGAATAGGAGACAGAAGATCCCCATAGATTTTTTTTCACAAACTCACCTGCTGACCGGCGTTGGCCGCCACCCAGGCCTCGGCAAAGGTTTCCATGGCGCTCTGGAAGTCCATCTCGCTGGCGATTCAATGTTCTAATCACTGGCAATATTGTTCCACCTATTACTTTTATTGGCCAGATGCAGGCGCTTTGGCATTAATTGCAATTTGTATGGTCCGCTACGATTTCGTTTGATTCGATTTGAGTGCAATTTGCAGACGCGCGATAAAGTACCGATTTCAAATTCGATTACTGCCCCTCCCGGAGATGGTTGATGTTGCGGTTGAGGCTGAGGCTGAGGTCGGTTCGGGGTAGAGATATTTCTCAATTTGTGAATTCTGATTTCTGATTTCCGATTTATGACGGGGAGACGCTAATTAGACACACGCACACACACTCGCGTATTTGCACACACGTTCGCTTGGAAGGCGCGACTCCTGGTGGAACGGATTCGATGACGCTAGATGAAGTTGCCTCTGTTTCTGAGTCAGTTGTTGTTGCAATAGTTTGTCATGTAGTTGTTGTTGTTCTTGTTGGGGGCGACGCGACATCATTAGTGCCATGAAATCGGGAGCTGATCGCGTCGCTGCGTCACCAGGATTGGCAGCGTGTCGAATGCCGGACTCGCAAATCCAGTGGAGCGTTCAGTGGCTCTTCTGGTTCTGTGACGAACTTCTGGATGCCCGCAGGAGTAGCCGGGTATGGAGCTATGTATGTCCTTTAATTTAGCTATGTTCTGGAGCTGATCGCCCTCGCACCTGGGAACTCTTCGCAGGTAACTGACTGAATTGGCAGGGTGCGCGTCAAGACATCCTCTCGCAGTCCAAGTTGTCGCACAACTGACGGCATTCTTTCGCCTTCGCGCGGCAGAGCAGTCGATGCTGCCGGGTGCCGGCGTTCGGGTGTTCGGTCTATGCCTCCGGCATGGCGCTGCGTTGGTGTGGGTTATGAGAGACCCAGCTCTCTTTTGGATATCTTTGTGTGGGTGCTAGAGAGAGAGACACTCTTGAGATAACAGCGGAGTAGAAATTGTAGTAAAAAGTAGTATAATTGCAGTCCTTTCACAATGGATTACCTATAAGCTTATAGATAGTCTTTCCATTTTGACAATTGGAAATATTATTTATTCAATTTATTAATATATGTAATCTTTAACGATATAGCCTCTTACTATTTCATTAGGTGAGATTAATTAAAAAATTTTATTTACCTTTACGGTATTGTATTTTCCAGCATACTTTTACCAATTGGTAAACGTCACAAAAATCTTTAGATATTAGAAATATAACGTAGATTTCAACAATTAATTTCATAAAAAAAGTATTTTATGAATATCTGCTTTATTCTGAAAAATTATTTAATATTAAATTAATTAAAAACATAAAAGAAGATAATCGTTTTTAACGAAAATATCTTCTACGAGAAGGGAACTCCAAATAGTAGTAGAAATACTCCGAAATTCCTTTTTGGTGAGTGAGTCAAGCAAGCCGCTCTCCCATTATGCGTGTGTGTGTGACCAAAACAAAGCACACATACTTGCATGCAAGGCCGAGAGAGCACCATTTTGAGAGTGCGAGAGAGCCATTCTCTCACCGACACACACATACACGCGAATGGTGGGTAAACCTGTTCCGGCGCAGAATTGCACTTGTCGTCGCTCGCTGCGGTGCCCAACCCCCCAGCACCACCCCCTCGCATCTACCCCCAGCTCCCCCCGCGCCAGGGTTTCTCGTTCGGCTGCGCGTTTTCTTTTATTTTTTGTGCGCCGTGGATTTGCTGCAAATTCGGGTGGAATTATGCCAAGCACACGCACACCATCACACCCGGAGACACACATCCACACAGGGATACACCGTGAACAGTGGGCGTGGGCGTGAGCTTAGCAGCCAGTGTGGGTGCGAGCAGTGCGACATATCAGGTTCGGGTGTTCGGGATGAAAGAGTAAATCGGCGGTGCTTATTCCTCTGACGATGGTGGGTGGTGGTGGTGGTGGTGGCGGTGGAGGATGAAGGTATGGCTGGGAAGAGGTCGCCGGGGAAGTGGCAACACCCACTCGGCATTTAGCACCTCCGTTGCCTGTGAATGGCGACGGCCTTCGTGATTCAGGCTCGTGAATTGCGAAACGAAGTGGACTTTGGCGACCGGCGGGCGATGGGTGGGTGGTGGGGGGGTACTGCCCCCGGAAGAAACCGGAGATAAGAGCGCAGATAATGCGCGCGCATTACATGTGATTAGGTGTCCGAGCGCCAGGATTTAGCCAACCGCGTCCAAGTAAATGGTAAATAAGATTTCTATATATGTACCAGCCTAGGCTAGGGGAGCCCCTCTTGGGGAAAAGGAAAAAAAAAACAAAGCAGAACCTAAACTGGGTGGAGTTACAGAATGTTTTAATTAGATAGAAATCCGGTATCCTTATTGGAAGAACTCTAAAGAGGAAGTTTTTGAAAAGGGTTTCCTCATCATAAATAAAAATAATTAAATAATAATAAAGATAATACTATTTTTTACTACCATAAACCTATCCCAGGATTAGATTATAAAATGAAATATTATCCCAACGGAATTTTTACCCCACTTCCCCAATACGAGCGCACCTACTTTCTCCCTCACACTTCGGACGCTCTCCCTCTCGCTCGCTTCGGCTCTCTTTGGCTCACACAGATACAAATGAACACCAACACGAACGGCCTTTCCCTCTCTTTCGCTCCTATAGTCTTGCGCCAGAGCGAGATAACCCATGGAAAAAATTAGAGCAAAGAGAGATGAGCAAAGCGTAAACGCAGGCGAAAACGCCAAAGAATACAAGATACGAGATACGAGATACAAAAAAAAAAAAAAGAGGAAAAACACGAAACCGAAATCGACATAAAAAGCGCCGGCAAACCAGTTCGGGATAGACTCCGCCCCCGCCGCTCGCTGATTGGCTAAGCGAGCGCTTTGCTTGGCCCGAGACTTCATCTTGTTCTTATTTCCTATACTTTTTTTTTTCCACATTGCTCCAACTGCGGTTTTATCGCCTTACCCACCCCCTGCCACTCTTTTCTTCCGTTTGCCGCCTTTCTCCTTGGAACGTTGCCGTTATTTGCGGAGCTTTACCAAAAATTCGGTGCTCAAAATCTTTTGCTGCTCTTAGCATTTTAGATAGACCCACAAACACTAACGCACAAGCCCACACACACACACACACACACACACACACACACACTTGGAAATGAAGCATACTTTTATGTAGGAAAATACATTTTAATGCGACATGTAATTTGAGCTCCTGAATAGAGAAAACTAATTAATTCCCCATCAAAAGACAACATGATAACTTACTGGTGATGAAAGTTTATTTTTATTAGAGTTTCAGAAAAGATACATAATCCTTTACTTACATTATCCTTGAAGAACGACTTTTAGAGTCTCACTTTGGTTGGAAAAGGCTAGCTCTTATATATATTCCTTAAAATGTATCATTTATGATGATACTCACTGCTTCAAAATTTTTATGGTGAACTCTTTATTTACAATGTATGAATGCATATTTTTCAGTGGCCACACACATTTGAATTTCCGGTTCGATGACATCTTTTGGGCCACCAAACGCGTTGCAAATTTTTCTGTTCGCCCAAAATAAACCCATGTGTCTGGGCCGGCCGCCCATACTTTGAACGTATATTATATTTACAGTTAGCCAACTCATCGTGAACTTCCACTTCGCCCATAGCATACTCCACATCCCTCCCAGTCTGTATATTGTACAGCGAAATATTTAAATAAGCAAGAACGCGACATCATCGAGCTAAAAAAGACCTGCCCAGCATGTGCGTGATGGTGTTTTTTGTACGTAGGATGTGGGTAGTAAGGTAGGAAGGAGGTAGGGAGTGCGGGAGGCAGTTCTCGGGACGCGAAAATCAATAATTCTATTAAAGCCGACGTTTGGCGGGCTCCAGAATTCAGTTTCAAGTTTTCATCTTTTATGAGGGGCGTCTCCAGGGAGAGAAAAAGCTTCAAGGGATTTCAAATAATTTAATTAATTATAAACTAAAAACTAAAATTTATTTAAACTTCCAAAAACAGAATAAACCCCATATAAAAACGAGAAATTTAGTTTAATACCCTTTTTCTTTCAGTGCCACCTCCCATAACGTGTTCGGAAACGTTTCAACTTTAAGCGCCTGTTGGGTCCAGTTACGAGAGATTCGGAAGTGGGGAAGTGGCCAGTGTCCTGGGCTAGGCATTCCCTGTTACCGCTATTACGGAATGTGGCAGCCATCAGCCGCGCTAAGAGCTCTCGTTGCCGTCATTGCCCCATCAACATCATCGTAGTCATCATCCCGGACACTGGCCCACACACATACACTGACACACATAATATAAACGCGGACACGGATACGGACACGGCCAGAAGCACGGACACGGATGCCGTAACGGCCGTTGGAATGAAGCGAGGGAAAGGGAAACGGAGAGCGGGGAGCACCCGTCATCATCATCAGGAGTCCCACCCCAGTGAAAACCTCCTTCGGTGTCATTGTCGTCGTAACGACAAAAGGACATTCATTAAGTTTTTGATTTCTGATTTTATTGTTGATTAAACGCATCACAGCCCCTTTTTTCAGGGTAATGCCGAGAAGGATACAGTGTGCCGGCATCACTGCCATTGTCCTGTCTCTATCTCCCAGCTCTCAGATCTGAGTCCTGAATTCCGAGCACTGAGCACTTCCGGCGAGAGCGTCAACTTGACATTTCCGCTCAGCTCGGGCGTCTTTATTTGGGTGGTCCTGCTGCCTGGCTTATCAACCCACTCAAGGACCCTCAGGATACAATCGACAGTCAGGACATCGTCCTTACACTTCTCCAATATAGTCATATAGATATATTTTATATAAAAGTATTTACAGAACGAGCTCTGTTGGCCAACCAATTCGAATGCCCGATTAGGGAAGCTTGGGAATTATCCTGCAGCCAGGATGTGTGTGTGGACTGGAGAGCTGCCATTCGCCTGGCTCAAGTATTGACGTTCCATGTCAGGGGAGACGGGGAGGAGTGGATATCCTATGTTGGCGGTGCCATTGGAGCTCATCAGCCAGGACTGTCGGGAAATGCGCCTGCGCCAATTTAGGGTTTTCCTTTATTTTTTCCCCCAATATATAGCAGCGGAGATACATATACGAGACCCTTATATAAGCGATTATGTACTTGAAACTCTATTTACTAGCTTGAACCACAAAATGGGATTTGATGGCGGAAGTAAAAACGCGGAAAATGGTGGAAAACAAAGTAATTAAACAGGGACTAGCGTTTTGGTGGCTATAAATAACTAGAATCCTAACTTGGCAAACTTTTCAAGATTTTAAGTAGAATTTTTCACAAATAAAGCTCTAGGTCTTCCCATGAGTTTGTAAGTCATAGAGATCAAGATAGAGAGATCATCAGAAAACCTTGTTCAACAATCAAATCATTTTCTTTATCATCCAAACTCTGACCGACATATCCCGAGGGCTAACCTTGGACGTGGAACGCACTTCAATTAGTCGGAGAAGTTTGAAAGGCATGAGACATTGGCCAAACAATGTACGGGCTTTGTTGGACCAGTCGCACCTCCTGATTAAATGGAATAACCACATTTACCACTTGAGGTAATTGAAAGCACCGCGGGGATGGATGGATGGGTGGTGGTGGTTAGTTCTGGTGACTGGGTGGCTGTCATAGTCGGTGGGTGATGCACACACCCAAGACCCCTGGCGACATGGGTAAGCGTGTTGCGATCGGCAAAAGTTCCACTTGAAAGCCTTAATTGATTTAACAGATACCGAGATACCAAGATACACCCACCCCTACTC